CCCATATGGTGATTAACATTTCATTGTGTCTGTGGCAACCTATGGCAGGTGTGGGTGCTCACACCTTAATCCAGGCCACTGTTGGGAGTGCCCCAAGGCAGTGGTCACCTTAAGTCAGAAGTTCAAGACACAAGCTGTAACATGGGTGAAATCCCCTCTCTAACTAAAAATAACAAATTAGCCCCCCCGCCCAGGTGTTGAATGGCAACATGTGTGGGTGGCGTATGCCGTTAGGTCGCTACTCGCGGGACATGGCAAGACAGGAGAATCACATGAACGCGTGGGAGGCGGAGGTTGGCGGCTGAGGGAGATGCGCCATGTGGCCATCTCAGACCTAGGGACAGATAGTGAACCTTCATCTCAAAACATAATAAATAAATAAATTAAATAAATGAATGCTTCTGGTGGAACATGGTGGACAGGACCATTCATGCACAAGGGTGAAAGAAACTACAAACTAGTGAAGGTGTTACAGTTGGCAAGCAAACAAAGATGAATTTAAAAGCGAAAACACCTGGCTTAGTAAGTATGAAAGGCCTCCAACTTGTAATGGAAGGGAGGGTCTTGGAGGTTTCTGGACGAGGCTTGAGAATTATCACATAAAAAGAGAACCTGCCGGCCGTAGCTGCTCATGCCTGTATGTTCCCAGCACTTTTGGAAGGCTGACTGGGGGTAGATCACCTGAGGGCCAGGAGGTTCAAGACCAGCCTGGCCAACATGGCAAAACCCCGTCTCTTTTACTAAAAATCAAAATTAGCCGGGCCATATTGATGGTTGCACCTGTAACCAGCTTGTACTCAGGAGGCTGAGACACGAGAACTGCTTGAACCTGGGAGGCAGAGGTTGCAGTGAGTCAAGAACGTGACACTGCACTCCAGCTGGAGCAGCAGAGCAAGACTCTGTCTCAAAAAAAAATTAATTAAATAAATAAAATAAAAATAAAAAAGAGATCCTTTGCTAGGTATGATACCAAAGGCATATCCATAAAATAAAAGAATGGTAGATTTGTCTACATCAAAATTTTAAAAACCAACTTTGAAAAAGAGAGAAATAGTTAAAAGTGAAATGCAAACAATAATATGAAGGGAAATATTTGCAACATGCTAAAGGGTTAATACCCTTAAATCAAATTAGAAATCCTCAAAAGAAAAGTGGCAAACAATATGAATAAGCGGTTCATAGAATAATTACAAATGGCCAATAAATAGATGAAAGATATTTGATATTACTAGTAATCAGAGGTTTGCAAAATAAATCATGATGAGATGCCAGTATGCGTTTTTCTGTCGAAATGGCAAAGATTACCAATTAATAAACTTCGAGCCGGACACAATGGCTCATGCCTGTAATCCCAGCAGTTTGGGAGGCCCAGGTGGGTGGATCACCTAAGGTCAGGAGTTTGAGACCAACCTGGCCAACATGGTGAAACCCCATCTCTACTAAAAATACAAAAATTAGCCAGGTGTGATTCAAGGAGAATCGCTTCAACCTGGGAGGCGGAGATTGCAGTGAGCCAAGATCGTGCCACTGCACTCCAGCCTGGGTGACAGAGTGAGACTTCGTCTCAAAAAAAAAGAGGGAGATTCTCCTGCCTCTGCCTCCTGAGTAGCTGGGATTACAGGCACCATGCCCGGCTATTTTTTGTATTTTAATAGAGATGGGGTTTCACCATGTTGGTCAGGCTGGTCTCGAACTTCTGACCTCGTGAGCTGCCCGCCTCGGCCTTCCAAAATCCTGGGATTACAGGCGCAAGCCACTGTGCCCAACCTGACTTATCAATTCTTATTTAGGAATTTAATCTATGAAAATAAGCAGAAATAATTACAGGAATGTTCATTTTAGTGTTATTTAGAATAACAAAAATGGGAAATAATCTAGATTGGAAACAACAGATAATTAAATAAATTATAGCATATTCATACTGTAGAATTATATACAGGTTGAGCATCCCTAATCAGAAAAATCCAAAATCTGAAATGCTCTCCACCCTGAAACTTCTTGAGTGTTAACGTGACACCACAATGGGAAAATTCCATACCTGACCTACCTCATAAGACAAAACACAATCAAGCAGTTGTGGTGGCTCACACCTGTAATCCTAACACTTTGGGAGGCCAAGGCAGGCAGATCATCTGAGGTCAGGAGTTCAAGACCAGCCTGGCCAACATGGTGAAGCCCTGTCTACTAAAAATACAAAAAGTAGCCGGGCGTAGTGGTGCGCACCTATAATCCCAGCTACTCAGGAGCCTGAGGCAGGAGAATCGCTTCAACCCGGGAGACGGAGGTTGCAGTGAGCCAAGATCTGTCACTCTGGGTGACAGAGTGAGACTCTATTTAAAACACACACACACACACACACACACAGTCAAAACTTTGTTTCATGCACAAAACTATTTAAAATATTGTATAATATAAAATTACCTTCAGGGTATATTTATAAGGTGTATATGAAACATAAATGAATTTTGTGTTTAGACTTCAGTCCTATCCCCAAAATATCTCATTATGTATATGCACGTCTTCCAAAATCCGAAACAGTCTAATTTCCAAAACACTTCTGCTTCCAAACATTTTGGATACGGGATCCTCAACCTGAATAGCCATGAAAAATATTATAGAATAATTTTCATTTGATTTATTTATTTATTTATTTTGAAACAGGATCTCAGCCTGTTGCCCAGGCTGGAATGCAGTGGCACGATCTCAGTTCATTGCAATCTCTACCTCCTAGGCTGAAGGGATCCTCCCACCTCAGTCTCCCAAGTAGCTGGGACTACAGGCACAAGGCACCACACCTGGCTAGTGTTTTATGTTTTGATATTATGTAGGCATAGGGTTTTGCTGTGTTGCCCAGGCTGGTTTTGAACTCCTGGGCTCAGGTGATCCACCTCCCTAGGCTTCCCAAAGTGCTAGAATAATTTTTAAATGACTCAGATAAATGATGATGTGGTATCATTAAATAAAACCAGCATTTGCAATTCCTAGGTCATATGGTTCCGTTTGGACAAAAAGTAAAAGCATATATATGTAAATATAAATGTATGGAAAAAAAGACCAGAAAGATATACATTGAAAATAACAGTAGTTATCTCTAGATGGTAGGATTATGGGTGACTTTTCTTCTTGTGCTTACATGTAATATATAAATTTTCTGCACAATGAACATGTATTTATTTTGTAATATGAAAACATAAAAACTGCTTGGCACGGTAGCTCACACCTGTAATCCCAGCACTTTGGGAGGCCAAGGTGGGTGGATCACTTGAGGTCAGGAGTTCAAGACCATCCTGGCCAACATGGTGAAACATGGTAAGCCGAGATCGTGTCACTGCACTCCAGCCTGGGCAACAGAAGGAGACTTCATCTCAAAAAAAAAAAGAAAAAGAAAAAAGAAAAGAAAACATTAAAAACTAAAAGTTTTTTGTGGTTTTTTTTGTGTGTGTGGTTTTTTTTTTTTTTGTAATTAAAAGAGGATAGTGATGTAAGAGTTACTTCTAGGACCAACACAGGAACTTGGATATTAACATTAGACATGACTTGGGAGGTCCAGATAATTTGACTTTAGAAAGACTACTTGGAATGTGATTATTGCAGAAGAGTGAAATGTTTGGCAACTCAGAAACCAGTAGGTTTTGTAGATCAAAATTGGAATCAATTCACTGATATATAAACTTTTAGACAGTTGGATCTATAATCTAAGCTGCTATGGGCATGTAAGCTTTTTGCTATCTAGACCTTTGTTCATTTCCATAGATCTCAGGGGCTTTTACCTCCAACCTGTGTTTGCCCGCCGCTAGATCTGAGAGACCTGCTGTGTGACCCTGAGCCCTCGCTGTGCATCATCACCTCCCAGACTCTGTTACTAGTCCAGATGGCGAGCGCCGAACCAAAACCTAAGCAGAGAGTGAACTGGTTGCAGAAGCTCATGGGCAGGTCCTCTGCCTAGAAACACAAGGCAAGCAACATCAGGTAAAAACCAATCCTTTCAGAAACCACAGAAGTCACTGATGCCAGCCCCCCTTTTTTCAGACTTAAAACAATGCCAGCATTAAGCCACCTCTACCCATTTAATTATCTCCAACGTGTTTTTTGCTTTCAAAACCTTGAAGAAGATATAGAGGAGGGCAGTTCTTAGTTTAAAATTGCAGATACAGTTTAAAAATCTACAGAGTTTTTGGCCAGGCATGGTACCTCACGCCTATAATCCCAGCACTTTGGGACTCCAAGGCAGGCAGATCACTTGAGGTCAGGAGTTTGAGACCAGCCTGGCCAACATGATGAAACCCCGTCTCTACTTAAAATACAAAAATTAGCTAGGCATGGTGGCAGGCACCTGTAATCCCAGGTACTTGGGAGGCCAAGGCAGGAGAATCGCTTGAAACCCAGGGAGGCAGAGGTTGTAGCCAAATGAGGGCCAAAAGTCACACCGCCACTGCCATTCCAGCCCTGGGTGACCAGAGTAAGACTCTTGGGTCTCAAAAAAAAAAAAAAAAAGGTTCACATCTTTTTTGTTGTTTGATTCTTTTTTTTTTTTTTTTTTTTTTTTTTAAGACCGAGGTCCTGCCTCTGTCCGCCAGGCTGGAGTGGCAAGTGGCCG